TCTTTGGTTTTTTCCTCCCTTTTTACACAGCAAGTAAAGCTATGAGTTACTGTCAGAGACAAGCCCGAACAGGTGCCATATCTCAGATTAAAACGCTTATTTTAAAAATAAGTTTCATAATTGAGTGCTGCAGAACAGCGGTAGGTGTCAAAACTGTCGAGAAGAATAATCAAAGGTGGGTGAGAAATGGAAGAATTGTCTGCTCGAGCCATCAGGTGAGAAAGAATCAGATATCGGCACAGACAGCAGAGTGTGTCATCAATGAATGTACGATGCACAAGTGAAATATCACATATTGAGACTCCATTTTCTCCCCCTCTGTGCAGTCACACAATGGAGTACATGTGATTTGAAAATACATAATTATATTGCTATTGTTAAACGCATAGAAAACATGAAATATAATATATTTGGCTTTCATTTAATTCCACTTGAAATGTCTTGTGCGGAGCCATGACGTGATGTCACGTTTTGTCGACATCTCTGTTAAATGATGAGACTGAGGACCGTTGCTTCAAATCCTCAAAACATTTCTAGCTCCTCCCGCCTCACCCCTACACCCAGGACCACATTCACGTCCATAAACCACATGGCGTAGTTTTTCTTGGTGCTGTCACTTGACGCCATGCTTTGCGGGCATGCGTGCCACATCACGGATGAGTTGCGTTCACATTAGAAGCCACATTTGTTTTTGGAACATGAGCGAGTACATAAAAAAGATCGGATTTAGCAAAATTGTGAATTGGGAATCACACTCTGCAGAGTGAATGTAGCCAAAGTGCTGTGTTTAATGACTGTTTGTTTCACATTGTGTCAAGGTCATTGCATTCCATACGTGACATCAAATTCATTTCAGCCCATCACACAGTAACTTATTCTAATGACTTATAATTTATATCCTGAGGTGCTGAAATTTTTGGCATTCCTCTCTATCACCTTTCGTCTCTCATTTAAAATGAAGAGAATGAAAGACGTGAAGAAAGGCAAGTCGAGAGCGCCACGAAGAGGAAGGCAGAATACTTGGAAAAGACACATTTTCGCAAAGAGAGGCAAGTACTCCGAGGATTGTGTTGTTTGAAAGAAGCATTGGCCCGCTTAATTTATGTGTTTTTTACCTTTTACTACAGTGAAATTAACATTAATATTTAATTTACAAGGACGGCACATACAACATTTCCCTAGAAAAAAAAAAAAATCAACTCATTTGCAGGCTTGCTTCCTAGTCAGGCTTCAGAACTGTACTGAATAACATTAAAATATCATTATAATAATAAATAGCATGAATAAATATGTACGGAAAGGCAATTTAGACAATAGTGCACAGCTGAATAAAGTTGATTACAATAGGCTATGAACTTGCGTGGTGCAGTGCGGTCAGTTTTACTAGCGAGATGCATGACATTATTGCCTGGCGTGGCGTCCATCTATTAGAATTCATCATGTTACAAGTTTTTGACGTGAAGTCTTACCTTGCAATAATACAGCGTTGTGTGTTACAGCTCACCGTTTTTAAAAGGTTGGGGACCCCTGGTCGAGTCTTTATTCGCAGGGGGTTCATGGAGGGGTCCAGTCGACGGCTCTATTTTCATTTCCAGCGCAAGGTCGAGCACGAAGTGGAGCCTAACAGTGCAGTGTCGTGCAGTTTTCTTTCTTTTGGTAGTTTGCGGGACTTTGCACTGGTACAATTGGGCGTAAAGTTTGCCCCTTTCTGCGATATTGTGCGATGGTCTTTGCTGGTGGTATCCCTCATTTTACATTAACATTAAAATCGAGGCGGTCGAAGCGCACACTGTGCTTGACATTGCGGAAGCAGAAATAAATTCGCTGGAGCGCGTGCATGACATTGATCAGATAACCTGCAGGATCTCCCCTTGCGGATGACGTAGTTGGACGTGCACAGCCGATTTTTTTCTAATTGTGTCATTAGAAACTTGCTTTGTGTGGTTGCTTGTTGGATCAGCTATTCAAAATTATTGGGTCTCTATGACCATGTAACAAACATTTTCCTTTTGGCACTTTGTATTTTGAAATGTGCGTAGCACTTGCACTGCCCTGGAAGTATTGCAGATTAAGTGCTTAATCCAATCAGAATACAATCTGTGGGGATTTAAGATTTTTGACTGCTCAAGGTTACAACTGCCATGAAATGATCCAAACATCGTCTCGCCCCTGATAAAAAAATGGGATTGTATATGAACCAAAGATTCTTCGAGATTAGCTCAAAGCGAGCGTCACACCAACAAAAAGTATTTACATTTTATTTTGAATACAATAGCCCCCAATTTATGAAGGTACAGAATTCCTCTTGGCGGGTAAACTTGACCTTCCTTCAAGTCAAAGCTTGTCAGTGCCAGATGTCTCAAATGCATCTTTATTCTCGATTTGTGCACTGAAAAAAAAAACTGTAATTAATAAGATCATTGAAAAACTGCTATTGTGCATGGACTGCAAATTTGTTTCGGCGTACGCCATGTGGCTGATAGCGCGGCTTAACAGACTAGTTCAAAACAAAAGGCTTTTTTTTTTCTTGAAATAGGTCAATGGTGCTGAACGTGTTCTTTCATTACGTTCAAGGATTAACATTCTCGAAATTTCATAACCAAAGTAGGTCATGAAAACATATACTGGGGATTAGGAATATCCATGATATTTTTTGTGTGTGTGTGTGTGTGTGTGGGGGGGGGGGGGGGGAATTTCCATCTATAGTGAAATAATCATCGTAAAAGGTATTTGCAGATCCAATTTCCAGAATAATTACAGGTACTGGTAAATCACAAAGACAACGCGAGTCTTGCTAGCATTCTTCAACACGGGGAAAAAAAAAGTAACGTTTGCCAAACTCGACAGAAATAAGCAAAATTGAATTTCGGGACAACCACTCCTATTCTGATGACATACGTTTCACAAACAGCAGAGTGGTTAGCATGCCTGGCTCACAGTTCGGATGCTTTGATACATTGTCACGTTTATTCATGTGCGATGTCTTCTGCCTGGTGCTCGATGGCATTAACTTGGGACATGAAATGACATCATACTGAAGAAGTAACGTGTTTGTTGTCTCCACAACGTGCTTGATGGTGTGCAACGAATGTGAGGTGCACTTCACTTAGGCAGTCGATATTCTAGTTGAAAAAACAAAAAGTGCCAACACGAGCATTTTTTTTTACCCTCAATTCAGTAACTATGACTCTCTCTACCCACACAACCGTACAGCCTCAAAGACCACCCCCCCCCTTTCCCCAAAAAAGGGCATGACTTAAAATCCCAGCAGAATCATTGAAATAGAAAATCCACTTCAAAGTCTCATTTCATCCAAGCAAGACTCATCCGCCGATGCCTGCACCACTGTAGTCACAGGCCCCACAGGTACTGGATTTCGGGTCAATATGCTGATAAAGCCGGTTAATGATGCCTTCATAGACCACGAGGTCTACAGAGGCTGACCCCGGGAAATTGAAGGTTTATTTATAAATTTCAACAGTTATACTACCAATTTCTCGAATGTTGTTGTTGTTTTTTTTGTCCTCCATTTTTCACGGCTGAACCTGAGAGCTGATTTGACTTTTGAAATAATAATTAGAGTACCAAGGTTGCCAAGCCCTGGTCTAGCCGCATCTAACCCCCCCCCCCTCGCCTTTTTTATGGATTATGTTAAAAAGAATTCAATGACAAAATAGGCTTTTAGCATCCAGAAATCACTCCATTTTGATGAGTCAGATCATTCAACAGCAAAATGCAAAAATGAGACACATCATTGAGTGGATTCACGTGGCCTTGTCATGCATGTCAGAATTTTTTGTTGGCGGTGTCCAGATTGGAGCTGCGTGGGTTTTTCAGGACTGGGCGGCACATCAAAGGCTGCCTTCACATCTGTTGCCTGGGCACACGGATCTTGTCCGCGCAACGTGTTTGATGATGGTCACGAACTTATTACTTGCGATTCTCAGGGTTCATAGCATGAGGATTTTGCTCAGCGGCAGGAAGTTTACGACGATGATATTTTAAAAAACCCCAACAAAACAGAAACAGATCATCTGAAAGGCGGCACGGGTATCGACTAGTTAGCGCCTCACAGTGGCAGAGGTACCGGCGTTCGATTCCGGTTCCGGCCTTCCTTTGTGGAGTTTGCATGTTCTCCCTGTGGCTGGGTGTGTTTTCTCCGGGTACTCCAGTTTCCTCCCACATTCCAAAATCACGCTGGGCAAGTTTTTTGGAGGACTCGAAATTGTCCCTCGGTGCGACTGTGAGCGCGAATCTACGTGTGCACTGTGACTGGCTGGAAACCAGTTGGGGATGTACCCCACCTACTGCCCAAAGACGGCGGCTGGGACGGGCTCCAGCACGCCCGCGACCCTCGTAGACGGATTAGAAAATGGAGGGACGGATGGATGGCTAATCTGAGGGCTGCCATTGAGTCGATTTGCACAAATGTGGGCACAGTTGCTGAAGGCGCTTTACTTTAAGCCAATATATTTGTTTTTATAATGCATTTCTCTATGGGGCATTTTGTTCTGACAACAAAATGTCTTCATCCCCCCCCCCCCTTAATCGAACAAAAATAAACAATGTGTAAAGGTAGAAAATGAGGTTGAACAAACATATTTCCCTGGAGTGAATGTTGCGGTGCCTCATTCCTTCTTTCCGCTGTCCCAATTAACAGCTTTGGTACCAATTAGCCAAATCAAGTCTTATTTTACAGGAAACCCAGGGGGGTATGTGTGTCAAGAACCAGAGCTGGAGCTCAAGAAAAAAAAAAAAAAAACGTCAGCAAAATCAGCACGGTCCTTGCTATGGAATAATTGGGAGAATGAGGATAAATGCTCTTTGCTTTACGTGTTGAACTCTCTCGTGTCGACTACTTACACATCGGCTTGTGCAAACAAGAGAAGAAAAAAAAAAAGAGAACTCTATAAAGTCCGGATACATTTGAGTGGTACTTTTTTTTAGTAGAGAGTAAACTATCTGGGGCAAAATGAATTGAACCCCGGCCGGGCCCAGCAGTTGCCATGGAGTGAAATTCATTCCCGAAGTCTGAAGCCATTCAGTTTACTTCGAAGGGGAGCCCGCGTTCTGACTCAGGCAGCCGGTGTGCCACAGGACGTGATCTGATTTCGCTCCATTTGACTGAAAAGTCTTGTTTAATATATAATATTTAAAACATCTCTTCATCTATCTATGCCAGTGACGTATTATGAAAGGCACAACTTTAGTGACACGGCTTAAAAGGCAGAAGGTAAACGTAACATTTCACAGGGTCAAGCAGATTCTTCCCAAACTAATATCCTTCAATCATTTTACAAATAATGACAACGAGCTGTGTCCTGTGCGTTTCTCATCCCCGGTTTTAATTCAGATTGCAAAGCCACGAGAACTGAAAACCAGAAATGCTTCGGAGAGTGCGCGCGTTATGCGCGTGAGCACAAAGGCAAACTTTCTGCTCACAAGCGTGCGACTCGGTGACAATTTGCAAGGTGATGGTCTTGTCAACAAGGTAACAAAATCAATTAACGCTCTGATCTTTTTCGCCATGAAAGCACTGCGTTAAACAGCCTTGTAATCAGGACACCCAATTTCTCTCATTGGCGCAGTCAAATGTTAGCGTCACAGCCCAAAGCGCTTCGCTCCAATGATTGTCCTCCATGAACGCAAAAAATAGAATTTAACATGGTGGAACTTTTTCTAGCTTGTGGCCTTTTTTTTTTTTTTTTTTTTTTTTTAACCACCTCGGAGTACAAACAGAACCGGTCCAGCGAATATCCTGGGCCACGAGACGCAATAGGCCAAATTTAACCTTGCTTTGCTGCTTTTATACTCGTGCTTGAGCTGGGCTGTAACAATTGATCACCCACTTCCGATATCGGTGGATTACTGCACACTCAAATGAACTTTATGTTCCAACGCAGTCAAAGTTTACCGCAATGGATCCGCTTTTTGCCCCCCTGGTGCGTTTGAGGGATTCTCTGCCTCAACTTTGGAATCAATCATGAGATTGTAAATCTCTCTGGTTCATCGAATACAGACACTCCAGTGTGGTGTGATTCAACGCTTACACTTTTGTTTCCAGTAGAAAGTTCTCAGATAGATATCAAACGAGCTAGCGCGTATGCTAGTGTGAGAGAGAAACGGCAAAAGGGCGGTAAGAGGTGCCTCAGAAAAACCGACGCAAGAAAGAAGGCTGCTATTTCTTAAGATGCATATTCTCCAGAGACTCACATTCTTTGAATCTTATTTGTTTGTTTGTTTTTTTTCTTCCTCCATACTGTATGTATCACAAGGGGAGGAAAGGGAATTAGGGATTTAAAAGCGAAGGTATCAACAGCAATGCAGCAGTTTTTCGTGAAGGCTCGGCGCTCAAAGCAAACAATAACTGTGCATTTTCTGGATATCCTGACATACTTTTCTCCCCGTGGTTTGCATTCAAAGGAGCCCATCCCGATCCCAAAACCTGCCACTGTCACTAATTTCCCCCCCCACTCCCCCCTTGTCGGAGACAAAGAGTTTTTAAGTCTGTGGGAGTTGTTGCAGTGAGCTCCGCCACTTGCAGGCAATATTTCACCCCATCCATCTCGCAAGGATAATAGAGTGTCCTTGCTTCTCGACGCCTGGAGGAGTGACCAGTTATCACGAGCCACCAGCCCCGTTGTTAATAAAAACCGGGATGGGAGGATCACGTCGGGGATAAAAAGAGAAGGGAGACGCATGAGGGGGTAGAGGACAAATGGGCGCCTGTTATTTTGACAGATGTCTCCAACCGGTAAAGTTAATGCGAGCGGCAATTAGTAACCAAGTTGGCATCTTACCTTTGAAGATAAATTTAGACCTCTGCGTTTCAGGTCACGGGTAGGAGAAGTGAAAAGAATTGGGAGTGGCTCAGAGGCTGATCGAGCTAATGGCCAAAGTGACCTTCGGAAAAAGTCCAACATTAAGAAGAGAAAGTGGCGTGTCATACAAATCCACTGCGGCTTAATCCAGTCGTGACTTTTGGATCGGAGAAGGGCGTCGACCCTTTTTGATTACTCCGCGTAGCATTTTTGGCACGCGTTCACATCTGAACCTTTTGAAGGCTTTTCAGTCTCTCGGTCATGTAAGTTAAATGAGACCAGCCCAAATAGTTTGTTTGGAGCATTTGCGGGAGATCGTATCGGCACTTGAGCAGCATTTCGCCGTGTGAAGGTTGAGCGTCCTCACACGTTTTGGGTGGATTTCCATGTAGGGGTAGAGAGTTTGCAATGAATCCACGCCATTCAAGATCTGGCCACTTTTCAATGCTATGTTACCACAAAATATCACCAGAGGGGAATTGACGAGTTCGGAACAACAGACCGATCTTCAAGGACATGCGGGCTGAATTGGAAGTGGCGCTGAACCGTCGCCCGAGCACCGTTATGCAATGACACTTGGCAAGCCATTGACACTGAATGGGTGTCACGATGTATGGTGGTGGAGGACCCCAAAAAGCAGGCAAAAGGGAGGAGCAGGGTGAACTTGGCAAATTGTATTCAACAAAATACTGAGGAAACTAAATCCAAAACAAACAGAGTCCTGAAAACAAAACGAATCCAAAGTAACAACCAAAAAGCATGGCTGAAGCCAAAAAACTCATCGTACCAGAAACAGCAACAGAAACCGTGACAGAGACAACGACCCGACATCGAGTGATCGTGCCAGGAGTCCTTTTAAACAAACAGCTAATGACAAAATGACCAACAGGGGTGCAGCTGCAGGCGCAGCCCTACACTGCCACCTGTTGGTCACAAACAGAACCATGACAATGGGAACAAGAAGAGATATTTGGGAAACCAAATGTTCCCCGTCTTCCAATCTTTGACGTCGTCACAGAAATGGCTGTCAGCGGGCGTAAAGAACACAAGTGACTGAAAGTTGAGTGAAGCGCAATGAATATCAACCAAGCGTCCGGTGCCAACCGAACAGGAAGCGAGCAAATTGGTTTCGCTGCGTATTTACGGTCGCTTGAGCGTCATCGCAGGACGCCGACACTTTTTTAAAAGGCTTTGGTTGGCTGTGTGAAATGGCGCTGCTTGTGCAACAAAGGCGGCTGTTTTATCAAAGCAAACACACGCGCGCACACACACACACACACACACACACACACACACACACACACACACAAAACAACAATTGAATGATTGGTTGAAGAAAAAGAAAAAAAACTCGCATAGTGAAGGGAGGCTTATTGTTTTGCAGAGAACAATTTCGAGTCGGGCGCAGGCTGATGCTTTTTGGATGAAAACATGCAAGAGAAATGTTTGGGGAAGACGACACAGAAATGGCAATTATAGAGCGGCCTCCGCTGTAGTTTCTTGATATTGTTGGGCACTGCACTTCTTTTAATGACTTGATTATTGATCTATCGCCGTGTTCTATGAAAGTTTCGGGGGAATGTGACGTGTTAAAGAACCAAAACAGGATGCCCGAATTATTCTTGGCTGCACAGGATTCAACTTAGCACCGACATGAACTTCATCAGCCAGTCAGTCAGTAGCGTGAACGTTTGTTTCAAATGTTAATTAACAATCTGTACTTGGAATGAACCTTGGCCCATATTTTCAAAATTGTCAAAACACGATCTAAGTTGGGATGGTAATAGACGCTATCAATTAATTTTTTTTTTTTTTCCACCCCCCCATTTATTTCACATGATTGGTCTCCAATCACGAGGATCTCCTGCCTTTTTCGCCTCGGACCGCTGTCAAAGACTGCTTTTATGTTCTTACGGGTTTCCACTCTTATATTTGTCTTCTTTTATTTATTTACTTATCACCATAATAAGTTTTCCTTTTTATGAGTCGGAGCAGTAGTTATTTTTGCGCAGCAATTTGTTTCAGCTGCAGTTTTTTTTTTGTTTGTTTTGTTTTAAGTGGTCTATAAACAAAGTTGAGTTGCGTCGCCGATGTGATTTAAGTTCTTTCATGCATTTATCCATCCGGTTAAGCGTGTTCAATCCACGGTAACTCGATCACATTCACTCCATTCGTCCCTAATAAGGTTCATAAGGATTAATGAGCGCGGCGTGCCGAGGCTCCTCTCGACCCTCCTTCACGCCAATGGAATCCATTTTTACCCGCCGTGTTCTTGCCGCATTGTCTGTCCCCGCTCTGCAACAAGCCTCCAACGCACTGGCAATGTCGACGGAGGTAGAACTTCTCAAGCAGCAAGATAATTAAGATGTCGGGTAACTCAGGAGCACGGCGGTGAGCGGAACGAGACTCGTCATTTCCTTTTGGGCGGGAAGAAAGCAAGGAGAGGGCGTGCGCACCCGTCCGCAAATGTCCATGTTGTCTTGGAGGATCCTCGGTCCCGTGGGAAAGTGAAACAGTTCTTTGATAAATCCAGAGTGATATCAGATGAGAAATTTGAGGTCCAAGTCTGGTTGGCGAAGGTTTTGGGACTCATAAATGTCCAGTGGCAAGTCTTGCTTCATATCACCCATTGCAAGTATAAAAAAAAAATTGTACTTGACAAGAATGGAGGCACTTTACTAGCGACTTTCTCGAGCGATTGGGAGAAGGGAGAAGTCTGGCCACTTAAACTTTGATCACATCGACAGTTCTACATTTTTTTGTTGTTGTTGTTGTTTATTTCATTCGATGTTTGTTTGATGTCGGCATAATTCGTTTGTGTTCATACAATAAGTGCAACTGGTGGACATGAAATGGAACCTGTCGCAATGCTCCTCCATCAACTGGGACATGTCCTGAAAGCCTCACCAGCTGATCTTATTCCCGTGCAAACATGTGGCGAAAATGAAATTGAGGAAATTCAACACTGCATTTTTTTTTTTTTTTTTTTTAGTCGGACCAGATGCCCGAACCACTTCCTCTGGCTCCTCTCAACAGGGACGAGCGGTGGCCCTCCTCCTTGATGAGCAACCGTATATGGAAGTCTGCGTCTTTGCAGATCCTGCCCCAATCCGGCCGTCGAGCTTCCCACTCCGTCCTCTGCTCGCTTGTGTACAAGACCGCAAAATACTTCTCCGCACAGGGGCAGGAT